CCATTTTTAGCCTTCCGAAAAAATTGTATATAAGCCTTCCTTTTCTTTGTCAACATCATCATCTTGTAATTCTTTTGCTTGAGCTAACAATGCTTCAGCTATTGCGGCCTATGCTTCCTTTCCATTTTTTTGAGACTTTTAGAATTCGTATAAGTGTTACACACTTGACTTTGGCATTAATTTTTGTTTCACATTTTCAAGTGGCGTAAATTAAAAAAAAAGAAATATTCATTTATTTATCTTGCTGGCTTCCCAGCAGTAATACAAACAAAATCCAAGATACAAAACAAAAATATCTGACAAACTGACTGACTTGGTAGGCAATGCTGACTGGTAGGTTAAGTATCATTGCTGTAATGTTTATTCTCTCTAAGTACTCTTTCCTTAGCTCTTCTTTTAAATGTTTTTTTTGCCATTGCTTTTAAATGTCTGTGTGTGTGTCTGAAATGTATTAAATTTCTGTCAAAATATTGTTATTGGGTCTTGAACATTATTTTCTCATATTGTTGAAGTTGTTGATGAAAAAAAAAAAAAATCCTAAAAGTTTCAGTTACATTAAGTAATTAATTTGAAATTCAATTAAGCTTGAATGAATATATTTAAAGAAATCCTATAAGATTTGTTGTCCCTTGTCTGAAATTTGTAATAACGTGCGTAAAGCTAAAAATAAATGGAATTAAATTTGTTTAGTTTTTTAAAAAAGGGAAAGTTGTACTGAGCAATTACTTACATATTTTGGTAATAGAAGATGTCTAAGCTTTAGTTTTACATGAGGGTTAATGAATTTACCTGACTGTAGTGATGTAATATTTGTTAATTAAATAAGGAAACAAATTTGATTTGAAGGTGGAGGGGGGTGTTGTAGTTGTTCGGTTATATTTTAATTAAAAAATAAATGAAGACATATGCTAGCTTCTTCGGCTACTTAAGGCTTTGAATTTTTGTGCATTACCACCATTTGGCTTCTAAAAGAATACTGATTCCTGTCGGAATTTGGCTTTCAAAAGAGAGTTATGCCTGACATCGAACATCGGCTTCGGAATTTGACCTTGTTTGGAGTCGACATTTTACCTGAAGATTCCAAAAGTGTTGCAATCTTATCTTCTAAAAGAACTCTTAAAATTCCTTTAGAATTTGGCTTCTCCTAATCTTAAGAGTCGAGCTTTAAGAACTGCCAAGATGAGCATCGTATTTGGATCATTAAACTTCTAAAAGAACGACAACTGATGTTCGTATTTGGCTTCCCAAATAACACTGATTGGTGTGGGAATTAAACTTTCCAAAGAAGCTCAATAGGAAACAGAATTTCGCTTCCATAAATGCTAAGATTCGTACCGGAATTGGGCTTTTAAAAGAACCTAATTCAACTCAGATTGGGGTCGGAATTTAGCTTCTAAAAGAACTTTAATAAGTATCAGAAATTGACTTCCAAAAGTGCTAGGTTTGTGAGTAATATTCAGTTTCCGAAAGCATCTAGATTAGTATCATAGCTTGGCTGCTAAAAGAACCTCGACTAGTGGCAGAATTTGGCTCCTAAAGGCACTACAACTGGTGCTGAAGTTAGCTTTCTAAAAAAACTTCGATTGAGTTCCGAATTTCGTTTCAAAAACGAACATTGTTCAGAGTGATAGCTTCGGGTTCTAGACGAACATTTGAATAGATTTTGGTTTCTATAGGATTGGTGTCGGTTTGGCTCATAATGGAATCTCGATTTATGTCAACATTAAGCTGCTGCTGTTGGTTAGTCTCTTAAAAGTATTCAGTTCTGAAAGAATCTAGATTGATAACATAGCTTGGCATCTAAATGAACCTCGACTAGTGTCGGGATTTGGCTTCTAAAGGAACTACAACTTCCGAATTCTGTTTGGTTTCCAATGGAACATCGATTGATGTCGGTTTGGCTTTAAATGGAACCATGATTAGAGTCAACATTATACTTCTAAAGGAACATCTATTGGTGATGGCTTGTCTCCTAAAAGAATCACGATTGGTTTCCGAAATTACCTCCTAAAAGAGCCTCCATTGATGTCTGAGTTTGATTTGAAAAGAAAATTGATTAAGTTTTAATTCGGCTCCTAGAAAAACACCGATTCGCCTTCTAAGAAAACTCGATTGATGTCAGAGTTAAGCTTCCAAAGGAACCTTGTTTTGGTGTCAGAATTTAGCTTTTAATATAACTATGATTGATGTCGAAATGATGTCAGAATTCAGCTTCTAAAGGAATCTTGATTGGTGTCAGTATTTGACTTTCTAACAAACTTCGATTGAGATCGGAAATTTGTTTTTAAAGGAAGCTCGACTGATATTAGAAATGAGCTTATAAACGAACCTGGATTGGTGTCAGTATTTGGCTGCTAAAATAACATCGATTAGTGAGAGAATTTGTTTCCTTAAAGAACTTTCATTGGTGTCAACATCGATTGGTGTCTGAATTTAGCATCTAAAGGAAACTAGATTGGTATCAGAGGTTGACTTCTGAAGGAATTACAATGGGTGTCTGGATTTAGGTTTGAAAAGAGCTTCGATTGATGTCGGAATATGGCTTCTAAAGGAATCTCGATTAGAGTCACAATCTTAACATTCACAATATCCTCGATTGGCGTTAGAGTTTGGCTTCTAATGGAACCGCGATTGCTGTCGGTATTAAGCTTCTAGAGGAATATCGATTAGTGTTAGCATGTCCATTTGGCTTCTGAAGGAATCACGATTGGTTTCGGAAATTACTTTCTAAAAGATCCTCGATTGGTGTATTCCAAAGGACTTCCAAAGCATTCTTGGTTGGTATTGAAATCAGCTTCTTATAGAACTTCGATTGTTGTCGAAATTCAACTTTTTTTGGTGTCCGACTGTTGCGTCTGAACGAATTCGGAGTAGTGTTTGGATTTGGCTTTTACGATAGCTTAGGTTGACTTCTCAATTAGGCATTGGAAAGAAGCTCAATGTTTTAATTTCGATTATAAAATAAACTCGATTGGTTCGACTATTTAGGCATCAGAGAGAGCAAAGTTTATTGTAGAATTTTCCTTCTAAAGGAAAATTGATTGTTGTCAGATTAAAACTTGTAGAAGATGGTCAATTAGAGTCGAAATTTCGCTTCAACCAGAGTCAATAAAGTCATCAGAGTTTGACTTCTTAAAGCATCTTGATTGATGTTGGTATTAAGGTTACTTTAGCAACGCCGATTGGTATTCAAATAAAGCTTCTGAAGGAAACTCTATTAGAGTCATGGGATCTTAAGAAGATTCAGAATTCGGGTTCGAAAAGAGCCAAGATATGCATCGAATGAAGGCTTCTAAAGAAACCTTGATTAGTGGCAAAATTTGGCTTTTGGGTGGGACCTTAATTAGTGTCAGCATTAAGCTTTTAAATGAGGAATTAGTAGTAGAATTTAGGCATCGAAGGAGCGAAGGGTGTTGTTAGAATTTTCATTCTAAAGTAAAATCAATTCTTGTTGGAATAAAGATTCTAAAGGAAGGTCAATTAGAGTCGAAATTTGGATTCAAATAGAGTCAATAAAGGCATCAGAGTTTGGCGTCTGAAAGCATATTGATTGGTGTTGGTATTAAGGCAACCTCGATTGGTACTCGAATAAAGCTTCTGAAAGAAATTCTATTAGTGTCGGAAGTTGACATTAGATGGAATCTTAAGAAGATTCAGAATTTGGTTTCGAAAAGAGCCAAGATATGCATCAGATTTCGATTTCTAAAAAAACCTTGATTGGTGTCAAAATTTGCCAGAATTTAGGCATCAAAGGTTGTGGTTAAAATTCTCTTTTTAAAGGATAATCGTTTGCTGTCAGCAAACGAAAGCTTGCTTCTAAAAGAAGGTCAATTAGGGAAGAAACATGGCTTTAAGAGTCCATATAGACATCGAATTTCGGCGTCTTAAAAGACCTTGATTGATGTCAGATTAAAGCTTCTAAAAGTAGGTCAATTACAGACGGAACTTGTCTCTAAAAAGGATCTTGTCTTTAAGAGTCCACATAGACATCGGATTTCGGCATCTTAAAGAACCTTGATTGATGTAAGATTAAAGCTGCTAAAGGGAGGTCAATTAGTGTCGGAACTTGGCTTTAAGAGTCAATATAGGCATCGAATTTCGGCGTCTGAAAAGACCTTGATTGATGTCAGATTAAAGCTTCTAAAAGAAGGTCAATTACGGACGGAACTTGTCTCTAAGAAGGCTTTAAGAGTCCATATACACATCGTATTTCGGCGTCTTAAAGAACCTTGATTGATGTAAGATTAAAGCTGCTAAAGGGAGGTCAATTAGAGTCGGAACTTGGTTTTAAGAGTCAATAAAGGCATCGAATTTCGGCGTCTGAAAAGACCTTGATTGATGTCAGATTAAAGCTTCTAAAAGAAGGTCAATTATAGATGGAACTTATCTCTAAGAAGGAACTTGTCTTTAAGAGTCCACATAGACATCGGATTTCGGCATCTTAAAGAACCTTGATTGATGTAAGATTAAAGCTTCTATTGGAAGGTCAATTAAAGTCGGAACTTGGCTTTAAGAGTCAATATAGGCATCGAATTTCGGCGTCTGAAAAGAGCTTGATTGATGTCAGATTAAAGCTTCTAAAAGTAGGTCAATTACAGACGGAACTTTGCTTTAATACTCAATATAGGCATCGGATTTTGGCGTCTGAAAGAACCTAGATTGAAAACATTAAACTTTCTTTCTAGATATCAATTCTGGAAGAGTTAAGATTAGGGTTTGAAAATAACCATTTTGTTCCCATGAAATAGCATTTATCTTGTTAATAAATTATTAAACAAAAACATATTGAATTTGCAACATATATGTACAATATTTAACATTTCTTATTCACAGAAATTTTATTAAAATAATAAAAATATATATTACAACAAAAACGAATTACTCGTAAATGGTATTACAAAGAATATTAATTTACAAACTTCTATTCAGGCAAACAATTTTCATACAATTTCATTACAATTTCTTATTTTTTCCATTTTCTTCTTTCTATATCTTTACAGATGCCACATGGTGAAGCAACAGAAAACTGAAATCAGTTGAATTGAACGAGAAAAAAAAAACTGGCAGTTGGATAGACTGGAAAGACAGACAGACAACAGCAGTTGGCTAAATGAATGAATGAATAGAAAGATGTTAAATTTTCTGAATTGAAAAATTTCATTTATAAAACTACATTTTATGTTTATGTGTGTGTGTGTGTGTTGCACAATAAACAGAGCAAAAAGGAAAAACTTAATTCATTTGTAATTTATATTTTTCGTTTAATTTTTTTTCCATTAATGTTCTGTTGTACAGAAATCATATTCCGAAAAAAAAACAAACTTCAACAAAGAAATTCTCTATATTCAAAAGAAATTACAACAATGGCAAAAATAACGGAACTCTTTACAAAAACACATTGTTGTATATGTAGGCTGTCATGTTGTTGTAGATCACACAATGAATATGTTCATGTTGTTGTTGTTGCCAGTGCTGTTCTACTTCACATGTTAACTGTTTAAGTGTTGAGAATTAAAAAAAACACTTACACATACATTAACAGTCAAATTTTTATTAAAAAAATAAAATAAATTAACAAAGAGTTAAGAGAGGGAGTAAGAGAGAGCCTTAAAATAATCAAAACAACAGCAACAACAAGCGTTAAGCATTAAATGATAACAATTGTTTAAGATTTGGCTCAAACAAACCAATACGTTTAAGCAAAAGAGAGAGTAAAAGATTGAGTGGGAGAGTAAGAGGAAACCGCCATAATTGTTTATATTTTCATTTCCCTACTAGTGGCAACCTATACAAACATATGAGTTCAAGTGTGTGAGTTTGTTAGGCTAAAGAAAAGTGTGTTAAATTGAAAAAAACAACAACAACAAAACAACCGAGGGCTGTAATTGTGAGTGTATATTTAATATATGCTCTTGGATTTTTGCAATGTGCGGCTATATGCTTGACAATAGCAGCATTAACCGCCATATTAAAAGCTTCTTATCAATAACAACTTCATCAACAGCTGCAACCTACACCCCCTTAGCAACAGCAACATCATTATCATTATCCTCGTTTTATTGTTCAGCCAGAAAATTTCCTCTTTATCAGTGGTTTACAACAAGAAGTGACACAAATTTACAGCGTCCCAGCAGGAACTGGAGCAAATCATCTAACAATTGGCAAATTGTTTTATTATCGATAATAATCATTTTATTGCAATGTTGTACAAGTGAGTATGAATTTCTCTATTAAATTCTTCTTTCCTCAAAAGTAAATAATTACACCAAAAAATTCATCTTAATTTTCAAGTGCTGTATCTCTTCTTCTACTGTGGTTGACAGCTGTCACAATTGAGAGATTATTATTAAGTAGAAATTGATTGATTTGTCAAAAGAGGGTAGTTAGGTGGAGTAAAGTGTTTGCTTTTTTGGTTTTATTAAAGGGATTAATGGTGAATAATATAAGCATTTAAATGAAGATTAGATGGGTTTGGTTTTAAAGAGTCATTAAGATAATTTTAAAATCAATTTGAGGGTGTTAAGCCGCAACACTTGAGATAGTTTTAATTTGTTTTGAGTTTAAAAAATTCAAATGGTTTAAATAGAACTAATCTTACTGCAAACAAAAATCGTCTAATGTCTCAACTTTCCCGAAATCATTAAGCTCTCTTCTTTCACAAACATTTCCGAAATCTTCCAAGATTTAAAAAAATCAGAGCTGCTCAAGTAGTTGAAATCCTACAGTGTTCAAAAAGCTGTTTTAGTTCTCTAATAGTAGTCCTTGTCCTCCAGTAAACGTATCTGCTTTGTTTCCTTAACTTCCCAAAATTGTGACCATTTTGTGGTTCAAAATTTACAGCAACCGAAGCTCAATTTTTATCCAAACCTTAGTGAAATCGTTTGACTTTTAGTTGTCCAAGTCTTACTGATATCATGGCTGCTTTAGTAAGCCAAATCTTACAGCAATCATGGCTGTTAAAGAAGCCCAATTTCTTTAGCGATCATTTGTTTCCTTCATTAGCCCAAGTCTTGCAGAATTATTGGTTCCTTTAGTATACAAATCTTATAATAATCATGGCTCGTTTGTTGCATTAACTTCACAAAATCATGGCCCCTTAGTGATTCAAAATATTCAGCAACCAAAGCTCAATTGTTATCCAAACCTTACAGAAATCATTTGGCTTTTAGCTGTCCAAGTCTTACAGGAATCTTGACTGCCTTAGTAAGACAAGTCTTACATCATTCATGGAAGTTTACGATGTCCAATTTCTCTAGCGATCATGTGATTCGTTTATTAGCTAAAGTCTTTCAGAGTTATTGGTTCCTGTAGTATAAAATCTTATGTTAAACATGGCCCGTTTGTTGCGTTAACTTCCCAAAAACATGACCCTTTAGTTATTCAAAATTTTCAACAATCGAAACTCAACTATTATCGAAACCTTACTAAAATCGTTTTGCTTTTAGCAGACCAAGTCTTACTGCAATCCTGATTATTTAAGAAGTCCAATTTCTATAGGGATCATGTGGTTCTTTTCTTGTAGAATTATTGGTTCCTTTAGTATCTAAAACTTATAGTTATCATGGCTTATTTGATACGTTTTTATTGTTCAAAGCCTTACAAGAATCTTGTCTCCTTAAGTTGTCTAAATCTACAGCAATCGTGGTTGCATTAGTAGTTCAATTCCGAGAGCAATGTTGGCTCTTCTGTTAGTCCAAGTCTTAGTATCCAAAACATAAAGGAATTATTTCTGGTTTGTTGTTCAAACATATCGTTCCGAGTTCTAGGGTCTAAACTTTCCACAACTCGTTGCACTTTCAGTAGTCCAAATCTTACAGGAATCTTGTCTTCTTTAGTTGTCGAAATCCTATGCAATTGTAGCTGTTTTAGTAGTTCAGTTCCTAAAGCAATCATAGTTCATCCTAGACTCCTTTACTAGTCAACATATTACAACGATCGTCTCTATTTTCCTAGTCTAAATCTTGGCTATTTTGTTGTCCATACTTTCCTAAAATCATTACACTTTCAATCATCCAATTCTTATGTTAAATGAAGCTCTTTTATTATGCAAATTTTCTGAACTCATTGCTCTTTTGGTAGCCCCATTCTTATACGAATCCTGTCTAGTTTAGTTGTCTAAATCTGACAGCAATTATGACACTTTTAGTAGTTCAATTCCTAACGCAATCGTGGTTCTTTTATTAGTCCAAGTCTTACAGAGCTCATGATTCCCTTAGTATCTAAAACTTACAGCAATCATGGCACTTTTGTTGTCTTAACTTCCTGGAAATCTTTGCGAAGTATACAGCAATCATGGATCCTTTAGTTGTCAATATCAGGACTCATGCCTAGTTTGTTGCCGAAACTTTTCGCCAATCATGGCCCCCTTTAAATTACAACAACTTACAGCGATTGTGGCTAAATCTTTCAGCATTCGTGGCTTTTCTGCTGTCCAAACTTTCCCAGAACCAAAGCTCTTTTCGTAATTTAATTCTTTCACCAAACAGAGGTCTATTCTTATCCAAATCTTAGTGAAATCTTTGCGCAATTAGTAGTCCAAGTCTTATAGGAATATTACCTCCTTTAGTGGTGCAAATCTTTGCGCAATTAGTAGTCCAAGTCTTATAGGAATATTACCTCCTTTAGTGGTGCAAAGCTTCCAGTAATCGGTCGGTTTTCGTAGTTCTGAATAGTAGTAGTAGAGTAGTTCTTTTTATTCTGAAATCGTTTAGCTGTCAGTAGTGCAAGTCTTATAGGTATCTTGTCTTACAGCAATCGTGATTATGTAATTTCTGATTTTATTAGTGGTCCATTTAAATTTCAAATTCAGACAACAATTGAGATTCGCCATTTATCATTTTGGAAGATATATTCTGATAGCAATCGTGAATCCAATCCATTCTAACACCAACTGTGGCTCTTTAAGAAGGAAATTTCTGTGTGAAATCGAGGTACATTAAGAAGCCATATTCAGAACCAAGAGAGGTTCTCGACATACTGACCGCAATTGTTCCAATAGAGAAGAGGAATTCTGACACTAAACCTGTTTCTTGAGAAAGCCGAATTCTGTTGGCAATCGTCCAAATTTCAGTTGCCAAATTCTAACTGTATTAGCGGAAGCCTTAAGAAGTCTATTTCTGCTTTTCAGTAGTGAGTCTTTTAGAGGACAAATTCAGACACTAAGGTTCATTGTTAACCCTTTAAAAGCGAAATTGTCGTTATTCCTTTGAAAAACATATTCCGATACCAATCATGACTCTTAGAAGCTAATTTATGGCGAAAATCGAAGTTCATTAAGAAATTATGTTCTGAACCAATAGGAAGAAGGGGAAGTAAATTAACAGTTTAGCTGTTCACGGCCTTGAAACAACCCCTTGATAAGACAGCTTATTTACGGTCTGTTATATACCATGATTTATAATCTTTAAACAGTTTAACCTTTATTTTAAACATATTTATTGCAAGTTACTCCTCTAACAAGTTTGTTTGTCATAACTTCATAATAAAGGTATTAAATTACACACAAGACTTTATCTAAATTACCTGTAGAAGTAGGACCCAGAAAAGAAACCCTTTTTTCTTTATTAAACAGAAAATTTATGATTTTTATTACTTTAATCTTTAACACGTTTCAGTAGAAAGATGTTTTTTATAAAATTCTAACTTTTTTTTTCTCTCTTCTCCTTTTCTTCTCTTTTTCTTTTCAAACAACTTCAAACCATTGCAAAATTTCTTTATATTGTATATTTTTTAATAAATTGAAATTATGAATGGAATGAAATTAAATGTATAAATATGAATGACTGAATTGCTGGCGCATTGACAAAAAAAAAAGGTCACGTGTTGGCAATACGAAAGGGTCGTCTTATGACTCCAAGCACATTTACAGCTTTAAGCGGAGATCTTCATGTGCAGATACAATTTTCACCAGAAGATATAGAAAACGATATAATAAAAGCAACCACAGCTGCCACCACCACTACCACCACCACAACAACAACAACGACAACAGGAGCAGGAGATATTGCACAAACTTCAACAACATCACGCACGCTAAACAATCAGACATCAAGTGGCAGTGACACACAACAACAGCAGCAGCAGCAAGTCCTACAAGTGGAGAATATTATAACGAGTACTTTGGTCATTAGCAAATACATTGATGAGACTGTGAATTCTTCAGCAGCATCAGGCTCTAGCCAGCCTGTAGCTATAGCTAATGATTCTTTAGTTTTGCAAAGACAACGTAAAGAAATTATAGAAAACATATTACTTTATCCCGATCCACGCCACAATGTTACCCAGGTATCGGTGCCCTGCCAGACCTTTATGCAGGGTGGTCTATATGAAATGCAAGTGGTAACGAATTTAAAAACCACCAATATATTAACAGCCAACTCTAGCTCCTCCTCCTCCTTTAACAAGGCTAAGGATGCTACACCCACCATGACTACCACTACCACCACTCTTATACCAGTATACGATGAACGTTTAAGACAAACTTTAGACGTGCGATGGCCCAGTGCCGAAATGATTGTTAGTCCGGTACGTTTGCGCACATATCCTGATACACCGGTAGAGGTTACTTTACGTTTTCCCGAGGTCAACTGTGATAATGCCTGGAAACGTGAGGATTTGCCGGAATTTTGGCTGGAATTGATATACTGTGGCAAGGAGCGTTCCTGTTCCCAAGTGAGACCAGAAAATGTTACCAAGTCTAGCATATTATTTGCCGAGCAGGTCAGAGGTTATCCCAAACAGAAAACGTTTAAACTTTCCTGCGATCTCTTTGGATTGGCGGGCAATTATGCGGTACAGCTAAGACCCATGATTCCTTTACCCAATATACCCATTACGAGGCGTTTCCTTTCGGTGGACTGGAGTGAAAAATATGTGTTTAATGTCTACGCCCGCAGTATATTTCCCTGTGATCCTCATACGGGCATAGGTGTGCTCTATGAGTATCCTTCATGCATTCTAGAGCAGGGCGATCGTGTAAGAGTTTATGCAAAATTGCGGGCCGATGTGGCCTCTCTAAAACCCCCCACTACTTTACATTATATAGCGGAGCAACGTGTGGTAAAGAATCAATATTCTTTATATTTTAATTGTGATCTATTTACGGAGAAATTTGTGGAGTATTGTTTTGTGTATGTGAGTCAAGCGATTTCGGGAGCAGTGGCCGATGTGAGAATGGATTGTGTACCTACACTGCCGGTGAGAGGTAAGTGTGAACAAATAGTTTGATCTAAGTTCTTTTAAAAGTCCAATAGAGGATCGTTAAACAGTTGGATAGAGGATTGTTTAATATGTAGTTGGATCTTTTTACTCATTGATCTAGATTCGTTTAAAGATCCAATCGATAGCTTGATTTTGGTTGCTTCAAAAAAGGATCATATTTCTAGTTCAGTTCTAGTTCTGTTCTAGTTCTGTTCTAGTTCTGTTCTAGTTCTGTTCTAGTTCTGTTCTAGTTCTGTTCTAGTTCTGTTCTAGTTCTGTTCTAGTTCTGTTCTAGTTCTGTTCTAGTTCTGTTCTAGTTCTGTTCTAGTTCTGTTCTAGTTCTGTTCTAGTTCTGTTCTAGTTCTGTTCTAGTTCTGTTCTAGTTCTGTTCTAGTTCTGTTCCAGTACAATTCTAGTTCAGTTCTAGCTCAGTTCTAGTTCAGTTCTAGTTCTGTTCTAGTTCTGTTCTAGTCGTTCTAGTTCTGTTTCTAGTTCTGTTCTAGTTCTGTTCTAGTTCTTTTCTAGTTCTGTTCTAGTTCAGTTCTAGTTCAGTTCTAGTTCAGTTCTAGTTCTGTTCTAGTTCTGTTCTAGTTCTGTTCTAGTTCTGTTCTAGTTCTGTTCTAGTTCTGTTCTAGTTCTGTTCTAGTTCTGTTCTAGTTCTGTTCTAGTTCTGTTCTAGTTCTGTTCTAGTTCTGTTCTAGTTCTGTTCTAGTTCTGTTCTAGTTTTGTTCTAGTTTTGTTCTAGTTCTGTTCTAGTTCTGTTCTAGTTCTGTTCTAGTTCTGTCTAGTTCTGTTCTAGTTCTGTTCTAGTTCTGTTCTAGTTCTGTTCTAGTTCTGTTTCTAGTTCTGTTCTAGTTCTGTTCTAGTTCTGTTCTAGTTCTGTTCTAGTTCTTCTAGTTCTAGTTCTGTTCTAGTTCTGTTCTAGTTCTAGTTCTGTTCTAGTTCTGTTCTAGTTCTGTTCTAGTTCTGTTCTAGTTCTGTTCTAGTTCATGTCTAGTCAGTTCTAGTTCAGTTCTAGTTTCAGTTCTAGTTCAGTTCTAGTTCAGTTCTAGTTCAGTTCTAGTTCAGTTCTAGTTCAGTTCTAGTTCAGTTCTAGTTCAGTTCTAGTTCTAGTTCAGTTCTAGTTCAGTTCTAGTTCAGTTCTAGTTCAGTTCTAGTTCAGTTCTAGTTCAGTTCTAGTTCAGTTCTAGTTCAGTTCTAGTTCAGTTCTAGTTCAGTTCTAGTTCAGTTCTAGTTCAGTTCTAGTTCAGTTCTAGTTCAGTTCTAGTTCAGTTCTAGTTCAGTTCTAGTTCAGTTCTAGTTCAGTTCTAGTTCAGTTCTAGTTCAGTTCTAGTTCAGTTCTAGTTCAGTTCTAGTTCAGTTCTAGTTCAGTTCTAGTTCAGTTCTAGTTCAGTTCTAGTTCAGTTCTAGTTCAGTTCTAGTTCAGTTCTAGTTCAGTTCTAGTTCAGTTCTAGTTCAGTTCTAGTTCAGTTCTAGTTCAGTTCTAGTTCAGTTCTAGTTCAGTTCTAGTTCAGTTCTAGTTCAGTTCTAGTTCAGTTCTAGTTCAGTTCTAGTTCTAGTTCTGTTCTAGTTCTGTTCTAGTTCTGTTCTAGTTCTGTTCTAGTTCTGTTCTAGTTCTGTTCTAGTTATGTTCTAGTTCAGTTCTAGTTCAGTTCTAGTTCTGTTCTAATTCAGTTCTAGTTCAGTTCAGTTCAGTTCTAGTCAGTTCTAGTTCAGTTCTAGTTCAGTTTCTAGTTCAGTTCTAGTTCAGTTCTAGTTGAGTTCTAGTTCAGTTCTAGTTCAGTTCTAGTTCAGTTCTAGTTCAGTTCTAGTTCAGTTCTAGTTCAGTTCTAGTTCAGTTCTAGTTCAGTTCTAGTTCAGTTCTAGTTTCAGTTCTAGTTCAGTTCTAGTTAGTTCTAGTTTAGTTCTAGTTCAGTTCTAGTTCAGTTCTAGTTCAGTTCTAGTTCAGTTCTAGTTCAGTTCTAGTTCAGTTCTAGTTCAGTTCTAGTTCAGTTCTAGTTCAGTTCTAGTTCAGTTCTAGTTCAGTTCTAGTTCAGTTCTAGTTCAGTTCTAGTTCAGTTCTAGTTCAGTTCTAGTTCAGTTCTAGTTCAGTTCTAGTTCAGTTCTAGTTCAGTTCTAGTTCAGTTCTAGTTCTGTTCTAGTTCTGTTCTAGTTCTGTTCTAGTTCTGTTCTAGTTCTGTTCTAGTTCTGTTCTAGTTCTGTTATATTTCTGTTTTAGTTATGTTCGTTCTTACTTTTTATTAACAATTTATCTTTAAGAGCTTGTTAAACAATAAAACTTCTGTCACCGTTTTTATCACATCCTAACTTTGTAGTTTAAGTATCTTTTCGTGCTAATCCCTTTAAGTATCCTTAAATAGTGATTCATCATTATTGCACAGTGTCATCAATGTTTTTATGTCATTTCCTAAAAACAACAAGATTTGTTTTTCTGCATTTCTCCATTTTAAATCCTTTCGATTCCTCTGCTCTAACTGTGTTTTTATAGCAATTTCATCCATCACCCAAATAACCAGATATCAATACAGCACTTTTCCACAAAGTGTTTATCTTTCATGCTTTATATCGTTGGGGAAAATCGAATACAAGTTGATTTCACTGGCACTTTTTTTTTGTGGAGCTAGCATTCACTTGTTACGGCTCGTTGCATGTTTTAATGCGTTTAAACAATGCCGGATATGTTTGTTTGTATTGACTGACTGACTGAACGAACGAACGAACGAATGTTCGTATACGATTTTGTATTGTTTCATTTCGCACATTGAAATAGGAAAATGCTAACGACGACGATGACGACATGTAAAGTCAACATCCCATACGTTTTGTCATGTATTTAGTGTCACATTTAGCGATGCTTGTTGTTTTTATTACACGCTGTGAGTGTTTTTCATGAATTGAAAATATTATAGAGCAGGGGTTCCCAAAAGTTTTACGGACAGAGGAAAATTATATTTTAAAACTTAGTTTATCAGTTTTATAGCCTTTTTGTTTTAAAAGCTTTAACCGAAAGCTTTTTGAATGTATTAAGGAGAGTGAATGAGTTAAAAGCTTCTTTGAAGATTTTTCTTCTTTCATGCTTATAAGCTTAAGCTTCTGTTCGAAGAAGTTGAAGCCAAAGCTTTTATTAGAAATTAGAAATTGTTTAACAGGAAAGCTTTTAGTATCGTTTTTATTAGAGGAGATCTAGTCCAGTATATGTTCAGTTAAAAGAGCTTTCATGTTGTAAAATAAGTTGAGTCTCTCTTCTAATAATATTATTCTATATATTTTGCTTTTTACAATATAAAATTTATTTATTTATTCAATTGTAAACATGTATTTTTATGGTTGGCGAAATAAAATAAAACCATTCGCCATAAAATTTTTCCAAATACAAAAACAAAAACATACATTTAAGCCGTTATTGTTTTAATTTTTTATATATTTTATTTGAAAATAGTTCATTTTCTAAAAAGTATAAAACAATTCACTTGTTATTCAGTTTTCAACAAAATACCAAAACTAAACAAACTATAAATTTATTTCTCTACAGAATCCGATACTGGAGGCTGGGGTCCCTGGAGTGAATGGACACCCTGTTCAACAAATTGTCTTGGTGGTACTCGCAATCGTTATCGTTTCTGTGATTCACCGCCACCCCGTTATGGTGCGAAATTTTGTGAGGTATGTGTACTATTTTAAACGCATAAGTGTTTTGCCCTCTTTCCCCTCGGCATCCATCCATCCATCCATCCACCACTAACTATTCTATTCAAAGAGGAAATGTGTTTTGCTTGCAATATTCTTTCTTCGCCGTGCCACGTATTCATAAAACTTAATGGCAATTTTGTAAATGGGAAAACTTTTTAAGCAACTGGCAAATTTTCGCAAAAGCCACATTGTTATGCACACACTAGCAGGCAAAGTAGTCGAGTAGTGTATCTGTTTACATTCATTCAACCATCTATGCATTTATCCACAGACACACACTCACACACACTCATCTATATTGTACTAACAATGCTTTAGAGAGAGAGCAAGGATATGCGTGAAATGTGTATGAGGCTATAAAGATTAAAAAAAATTGTGTTAAATATAGAAACTATAAAATGCAGGGGTGTAGTTGGAAAAAAGGGGGAAAAAGGATTTTTTATTCTATAAATATATATTTTTAATGCTTTCTTTAAGTTTTCATTAGGAAGCTTTCTTAAAGCTTTTAAGAGAAAGCTTTCTTAAAGTCTTTGTAGATAAGTTTTCTTAAAGTTTTAATAAAAAAAGCTTTTTAAAGTTTCTTAAAGTCTTTATAGATAAGCTTTCTTAAAGCTTTTATCAAAACGGAAAGGATTTTTTTTATTTTTTATTTTATAAATACAAATTTTTAAAGCTTCCTTTAAGTTTTTATTATAGAGCTTACTTAAAGCTTTTACGAAAAAGCTTTCTTAAAGTTTTTATGAAATAGCTTTCTTAAAACTTTTATCAAAACGCTTTCTTAACAAAGCTTTTCTTAAACATTTGAAAAACACATCCGCAGACGTTAATAAAAACAGTTTTTGAAAGCTTTAATGAAAAAGTTTTTTAAACTGTTATGAGATTAAAGCTATTGTTTAAACGTTAATTTAAAGCTTTTTAAAAAAGTTTCTTATATCAAAAATCCTTAAAAAAACTGTCGTAAAGCTTTTATCAAAAAAATCTTTTTTAAAAATATTTTGTTAATGCTTTCATCAAAACGTTGTCCTAAGGCTTTTAATGAAAAACTTTCATGAATTTTTAAGAATATGTTTTCCTTACATTTTTATCAAAGTTCTTTTCTAAAGATTTTATTAAAACTTATCGATGAATTTGCTAAAGCTTTAATGAAATAATTAACGAAAGCTTATTCATTCCTTTATAAAAATGCTTTCTTTCTTACAAAATATTTTACTTACGCCTTTAAAAATATTATTCTGGAAGATTTGAGAAAACACTTTTTTAAGCTGTAATGAGGAAGCTTTTTTTAAATCTTTTATTTAAACGTTATCTAAGAGTTTTTGTAACAGGATTTCTTATATCAAAAAGCTTTAACAGAGTTTTACTCAAAAATCTTCGCTAAAGCTTTTTAAAAAGGCTCTTGTAAAGTTCCGGTTAAATTCTAGTTCTGTTTCTAGTTTTGTTCTAGTTCTGTTCTAGTTCTGTTCTAGTTCTGTTCTAGTTCTGTTCTAGTTCTGTTCTAGTTCTGTTCTAGTTCTGTTCTAGTTCTGTTCTAGTTCTGTTCTAGTTTCTGTTCTAGTTCTGTTCTAGTTCTGTTCTAGTTCTGTTCTAGTTCTGGTTCTAGTTCTGTTCTGTTCTGTTCTAGTTCTGTTCTAGTTCTGTTCTAGTTCTGTTCAAGTTCTGTTCTAGTTCTGTTCTAGTTCTGTTCTAGTTCTGTTCTAGTTTCTGTTCTAGTTCTGTTCTAGTTCTGTCTAGTCTGTTCAGTTCTGTTCTAGTTCTGTTCTAGTTCTGTTAGTTCTAGTCTGTTCTAGTTCTGTTCTAGTTCTGTTCTAGTTCTGTTCTAGTTCTGTTCTAGTTCTGTTCTAGTTCTGTTCTAGTTCTGTCTAGTTCTGTTCTAGTTCTGTTCTAGTTCTGTTCTAGTTCTGTTCTAGTTCTGTTCTAGTTCTGTTCTAGTTCTGTTCTAGTTCTGTTCTAGTTCTGTTCTAGTTCTGTTCTAGTTCTGTTCTAGTTCTGTTCTAGTTCTGTTCTAGTTCTGTTCTAGTTCTGTTCTAGTTCTGTTCTAGTTCTGTTCTAGTTCTGTTCTAGTTCTGTTCTAGTTCTGTTCTGTTCTGTTCTAGTTCTGTTCTAGTTCTGTTCTAGTTCTGTTCTAGTTCTGTTCTAGTTCTGTTCAAGTTCTGTTCTAGTTCTGTTCTAGTTCAGTTCTCTATATCCACCCTTTCCTCCTCCCCTGCTTATCCAAATGCATTTTCCCATAAGACATACTTCAGAAAAACCCCTGACGAAAAACAATACACTTAGATTTGACTTCAAGTAAAAAGTAAACGGGTGAAGAGAATAAAAAATCGCCCACAAAAAAGTTAAAAAGTTTTTAATTTCATATATTGTTTTACTCGCGAAGAAATTCCTAGAAAACTATTTACACCCAAGACAATGATGGTTGAAATAATGAATTTATGTTAGGAAAAGTGCTGGATAAATAAATTGCCACTGGGAAGGTGAGGAAAGAAATAATGATACTTAAAAGGAATTTTTATTATGATTTTCAAAATTGCAAGCGAGAACAAAAGTGAATAGAAAAAAAGTTCGTTAAACTTAAACAGCACAAAAAGAAAAAAAACGAGGTGAAATAATAGTGGAAATAGTTGCAGGTAAAGTAAATAAATTTATGAGAAAACTTAAGCCAAGAATTTCAAACAAAATGAAATGTTATTTTAGTAAAAGAAAGGGGTGGCAACATTGTAAAAAATTATGTGATGAAAGAAAAACAACAACAACCTGTTGTTAATGACAACTGTTTAATCAATAAATTTGTTAAACGGAATTTTATATTTTGGAGGAAAATCGTTAGAGTCGTTTAGTTGGCAAAATGAGTACCGAGGATAAAGATGTCAAAGGCAAAAAGGGAGGCAAGGGTAAAGGTAAAAAGGGCAAAAAGGCGGATCCTAATAAATTAAATCAAGTGGATAAGACTTTCTATGAATTGACTATAACGGATTTGAACCAAAAATTGGCACGTTTGAGAAGCCATTTGGCGACTTTGGATGATACTAATAATAATTTAAAAGAAAAGCTTAGAAGTCTGGAGGAGGATCGCACAGATGTGGCGGCCCATTTGGAAAAGACTTTGGCCGAACGTAATGATAGTATTAAAGAGCTGGAGGAGCGTTTGGTGGAAATCACCAAAGTGCGCAACAATGAGAAGCTGCAGGCTGAAGAGCATATTAAGGATTTGGAGAATAAATACAAATCCATGCATGATCAATTGACCTCGGAAATTAAGCTGCTAAATGGTAAGCTTAACTCCTTAGATGAGTTTCGTATACAACGTGATGTTCTGCTGGCCAAGTTTGATGATCAAGAAGCTGAGCTTAAGGAAAAGGATCGGGCTCATCAAGAGGCTGTTTACAATATGGAGCAGAAAGCAGTAGTGGAAAAAGATGCCTTGAAAAAGGAAGTGGAGGCCAAACTTTTACAGGTTTCCGAAGATTTCACACGCTCCAGTGAGATACGCAATGCCGGCTATACCAGACGCTTGATTAGAGAGAATATAGCTCTACAAAAGGAAATCGATATACTAGTATTGTCGCAACTCAAAATGCAGCAAGATTTCAATGAACATGTGCAAAAGAATAAAGAAATGGCGGAACAATATGCCGCTCTAGACCAACTGAAAAATCAATTAATCAAAAGTTCTCAAAATAAGATACGCATCATAGAGAAACTCACCGATAACTATGAACGTTTGAAAACCAAATACACCGAAGTAGTAAAATATCGTGCTCTCTATGAAAACATTACAAAAAAGGATGTATGTGATCAATTCTCCTTTAACGAAACCACCAAGAAATTAAGAGTTTTGGGTCAGCATGTAGAAGGTTTGAAATTGGAAAAGAATCGTTTAATGGCTTTGCATGAGCAACAAGAAGCCGAAATCATACGTTTGCAAACAGTTATACAACAAATCAAGTTAACTGTGCAAATAGCCATTAAAGCCATAGAAGAAGATAAGCTGCCACCCGCTCAGGAAAGCGGCGAAGCTGATGAGTCTGCTCTGAGACAAGTTAAGCGTCAGAATTTACTTTCCGAATTAATGGAACTTGTAAGCAGTCATTCGGAGCGTTTGCCTGAAACACCCTCCATTCAAACTATTTCACGTTCTCGCTCCTCGCTATATCGTCCCGGTAAAATGGGTTTCATGCCTCGCACTGCCTCCTCTCTTATGGAAATCTTCAAAAGAGAAGCTCAAAAACTTACCTCCACAGAAGTGGTAGCACCTGAGTTTCAAGTCGAATACAAGGACTCGCAAATCATACCCAAAGAACGCATCAGTGAAGCGGGCTCTATAGTTGATGTTGAAATGGGTTCTACTTTAATAGTTTCCTCTTCCCATGAAGACTTGGAGGTAGTACAAATGGATGAGCAGGAAGGTGAAGATTTGGGAGAGGAAGGTTCCAGTAGTGATTTTGCCTCTGCTCCGGCTGATACGACTACTGACCACTTGGCTTCGACTGCAGATGAATCGCGTAAAAGTGTCTCTACAAAACGTGAGGGAGAGGAAGCGTCGGATGTGTCGGCGGAGCTGGGTAAAAGGGGTCAAGAGGCAGACACCATATCAAGAGGTTCTCGAGTATCTCGCATGTCGCGGATTCAAAGCTTGCCACCTATTGATACCGAAGAGTATTCCATAAATGTTTTGTACTAGAGATTTTGGAGGGAAATAATATATTTTGTATTGATATTTAAATAAATATTTTTGAAATTTTATAAAGATTGTTTTTAATCTAAAACTAGAACAGAGATAGAACAGAACTAAAACAGAACTAGAACAGAACCAGAACAGAACCAGAACAGAACTAGAACAGAACCAGAACAGAACTAGAACAGAACTAGAACAGAACTAGAACAGAACTAGAACAGAACTAGAACAGAACTAGAACAGAACTAGAACAGAACTAGAACAGAACTAGAACAGAACTAGAACAGAACTAGAACAGAACTAGAACAGAACTAGAACAGAACTAGAACAGAACTAGAACAGAACTAGAACAGAACTAGAACAGAACTAGAACAGAACTAGAACAGAACTAGAACAGAACTAGAACAGAACTAGAACAGAACTAGAACAGAACTAGACAGAACTAGAACAGAACTAGAACAGAACTAGAACAGAACTAGAACTAGAATAGAACTAGAACAGAACTAGAACTAGAACAGAACTAGAACAGAACTAGAACAGAACTAGAACAGAATTAGAACAAACTAGAACATAACTAGAACAGAACTAGAACAGAACTAGAACAGAACTAGAACAGAACTAGAACGAATAGAAAACTAGAACAGAACTAGAACAGAACTAGAACAGAACTAGAACAGAACTAGAACAGAACTAGAACAGAACTAGAACAGAACTAGAACAGAACTAGAACAGAACTAGAACAGAACTAGAACAGAACTAGAACAGAACTAGAACTAGAACAAAACTAGAACAGAATTAGAACAGAACTAGAACAGAACTAGAACAGAACTAGAACAGAACTAGAACAGAACTAGAACAGAACTAGAACAGAACTAGAACAGAACTAGAACAGAACTAGAACAGAACTAGAGCAGAACTAGAACAGAACTAGAACAGAACTAGAACAGAACTAGAACAGAACTAGAACAGAACTAGAACAGAACTAGAACAGAACTAGAACTAGAACAAAACTAGAACAGAATTAGAACAGAACTAGAACAGAACTAGAACAGAACTAGAACAGAACTAGAACAGAACTGGAACAGAACTGGAACAGAACTAGAACAGAACTAGAACAGAACTAGAACAGAACTAAAACAGAACTAGAACAGAACTAGAACAGAACTAGAACAGAACTAGAACAGAACTAGAACAGAACTAGAACAGAACTAGAACAGAACTAGAACAGAACTAGAAATAGTATTTTTTAATATTAATTCTTTTCCATTTCTTTTCTTCCAGGGTCCATCAGTACAAACTGAAAAATGCGGTAAATCCATTAGCGATACCTGGGATTGTATTTACGAGACTAGCGGCTCGGTGTTCAGTAAACTTAACCGCACCGATGTTAGTCAGGAGATTGGTCCAGGCTGTCGCTGCGGTTGCATTGTGCATTTGGGAACTTCAAAGCCCAAACGTATTATAGCAGGAGCAACACAAAGCTGTCCAGGCAGATCATTTTGGTTGATACAGGTAAGATAAATAATTGGCAATATACATTTTCCATTATTTAGTTTCCATTAGGAAGAAAATGATTAAAATTAGGTTAACATTTTATTTCATTCGAATTCTAGGCAGAGTATTTTTTCAAATAGAAACTAACACCACCTCCCCCCCCCCCCCAAAGAAAAACCTTTCCACCAAGGAATTTCTCTTTAAACATTCCTTTACTAAAATCTTTAAATAATCTTAGAAACATGAAAATAAAGAAACCCTTTAGACATAAATAAACTATTGATCCCTGGAGAGTAACTACTACTTACTACAAGTAGTGATGGTGATGATGGCGTTGAAAATGGGGATGACGTTAGCCATATCCACCCACCATACAGAATGACTTAATAAATGAATGAAATGCCATTCTATATACAAAAATTCTCTAATAAATTAAAATAATAAAAACTACAAAAACAGCCAGCAGCTCTTGCATGCTAGCAGGAAAAGGATACTGGCAGGACAACATAACAAAATATATTGACTATACAAAATACTAGAAAATCCAATACAGCAAAAAAAAAAAAATTATAGAAATTGTTCAAAATATTAAGAATAATTTACGAGAAAAGAAAAATATATATTTCATATTGTATACAAAATGACAAGAACAAAGTCAGGATAACAACAACAGCTACACTGCACAATGAACACAACAGGACACTCAAATAGACAAAATGGGGGAAAAAATAAAAATAATAAAGGAATATTAATAGATTAAAAGAATGAGAATTTCAAGTACTCTTTATTAAATTTAAGTAAAAATTCTATTCTTTTAGTTACTGCCATTGTATTGGGTATAAAAAATTCGACAAAGGCATGGAAAAGCAAGGACCTAATAGAAAATCATTGAATTTTATATAGAAAATATATTTTTTCTTATTTAGACCAAGTTTATCAATAGCACTTTGCTGCCTTACAAAATGTTATATCTATGTATGTTGTTTGGTTTTTCCTTTTATTGGCATTTAAGAAACGAGGGTAACGAGAAAGTTATAGTTAAGATCTAGTTGAATTTTAGTTCTGTTCTAGTTCAGTTCTAGTTGAATTTTAGTTCTGTTCTAGTTCAGTTCTAGTTCTGTTCTAGTTCAGTTCTAGTTCTAGTTCTGTTCTAGTTCTGTTCTAGTTCTGTGTGTTCTAGTTCTGTTCTAGTTCTGTTCTAGTTCTGTTCTAGTTCTGTTCTAGTTCGTTCTAGTTCTGTTCTAGTTCTGTTCTAGTTCTGTTCTAGTTCTGTTCTAGTTCTGTTCTAGTTCTGTTCTAGTTCTGTTCTAGTTCTGTTCTAGTTCTGTTCTAGTTCTGTTCTAGTTCTGTTAGTTCTGTTCTAGTTCTGTTCTAGTTCTGTTCTAGTTCGTTCTAGTTCTGTTCTAGTTCTGTTCTAGTTCTGTTCTAGTTCTGTTCTAGTTCTGTTCTAGTTCTGTTCTAGTTGTTCTAGTTCTGTTCTAGTTCTGTTCTAGTTCTGTTCTAGTTCTGTTCTTCTAGTTCTAGTTCTGTTCTAGTTCTGTTCTGGTTATGTTCTAGTTCTGTTCTGTTCTGTTCTAGTTCTGTTCTAGTTCTGTTCTAGTTCTGTTCTAGTTCTGTTCTAGTTCTGTTCTAGTTCTGTTCTAGTTCTGTTCTAGTTCTGTTCTAGTTCTGTTCTAGTTCTGTTCTAGTTCTTTCTAGTTTCTGTTCTAGTTCTGTTCTAGTTCTGTTCTAGTTCTGTTCTAGTTCTGTTCTAGTTCTGTTCTAGTTCTGTTCTAGTCTGTTCTAGTTCTGTTCTAGTTCTGTTCTAGTTCTGTTCTAGTTCTGTTTAGTTCTGTTCTAGTTCTGTTCTAGTTCTGTTCTAGTTCTGTTTCTAGTTCTGTTCTAGTTCTGTTCTAGTTGTTCTAGTTCTGTTCTAGTTCTGTTCTAGTTCTGTTCTAGTTCTGTTCTAGTCTGTTCTAGTCTGTTCTAGTTCTGTTCTAGTTCTGTTCTAGTTCTGTTCTAGTTCTGTTCTAGTTCTGTTCTAGTTCGTTCTAGTTCTGTTCTAGTTCTGTTCTAGTTCTGTTCTAGTTCTGTTCTAGTTCTGTTCTAGTTCTGTTCTAGTTCTGTTCTAGTTCTGTTCTAGTTCTGTTCTAGTTCTGTTCTAGTTCTGTTCTAGTTCTGTTCTAGTTCTAGTCTGTTCTAGTTCGTTTAGTTATGTTCTAGTTCTGTTCTAGTTCTGTTCTAGTTCTGTTCTAGTTCTGTTCTAGTTCTGTTCTAGTTCTGTTTAGTTCTGTTCTAGTTGTGTTTCTGTTTTCTAGTTCTAGTCTAGTTCTGATAGTTCTGTTCTAGTTCTGTTCTAGTTCTGTTCTAGTTCTGTTCTAGTTCTGTTCTGTTCTGTTCTATTCTGTTCTAGTTCTGTTCTAGTTCTGTTCTAGTTTTGTTCTAGTTCGGTTTCTTCTGTTCTAGTTTTGTTCTAGTTCTGTCCTAGTTCTGTTCTACTTCTGTTCAAGATCTGTTCTAGTTCTGTTTGTTTGTTAACTGTCCTTCTATTTTAAATAACAAGCTTTTCAAAATCTTTTCTATTAATCCCACTTTCCAGGATTTTTCAGTTCCTTTATATTTATTTTACAACAGAAAATTGACCTAAACATGCTTGTCAATAGTGCTTATGCTTCTCTACTTTTATATAAGAAATATACTAAATTAAAATATCTCTGTATTCGTTTTTTGTAGGTGTGTTAGAACATAATACGTTCAATTCTATTAAAATGGATTTACATTGTGTAAACGACAAAATTTACTTCAAATTACATTACTTTTCTTGCAATCATTTTCATTGAACTTACTTCTCTTGCATAGTCCTTCCTCTTACGTACTCAACTACTTACTTATTTTTCAACGTACACTGACATTATATTCATATTGGTCTAATACTCTTCAACAATTACACCCACACATACAGTCACTTTGTTGTATAATATGTATAGAATATTGAACTTGTATGTTGTTCTATTATTAAAGTAAAAAAAAGAACTACAAATACTTGTCCATTCATAGATAGAAGAAAAAGCCTTAACAACTTTATCTATTCTTCTATATTTAGACACTCCTGCACAACGTTCCATACACAATCACACACATACTGTTATACGCCTTCCTTTATATCCTTGTCTTGTCATTATTTTCATTTTTGTACCTTTTAAAAGCTGTAATGTCTGGTAATGGGCTCAACAATGTTCAAAAGTCATTGCACCCTTAACAGGAGCAGGAGCTCGCTCATCAAACGTCACTTTAACTTTAAACGAATCATGTGTAAAGGACTACTTTTTTTCCCAAAACACTTTATCAATGAGTGTGTGTTGTTGTTGTGGTTATACTATAGTATTAGTTAAAGTTTTCCTGGAGTATATGTATCGGTAAAAGCCAAGGTATTGTGGTCTTATGTCTGTATGTTTGTTGTAAAATAGTGTGCGTAAAGTTAACTACATATTAAATATTACCGGAGTAGGTGTTTTGTGTGTGTGGGTTCTGAAACATGCGTGTGTATTCCCTTTGATTGTATTTGTTATCTTGATGACACGTATTGGATTGCAAAAATTTTACTAACAATTTATTTTTATTGCCCCTGTAACCCTTAATATGTATTCCATTACATTTTCCAACTGCCTTAACTTACACCCATATTTACAAAACGAAATTAAAAGGTTGTGTGTAAAAAAAAAGGTTAAATTATGAATTTGACATGCTTTCTGTTTCTCAGAAAAATAAAAAAGTAGAAAGGATACTTTCATAATTTCAGCAGAAAGTTATTTCACAAACGAGGGTTGTCATCACAATCTTACACATGTTATAGTTTTACTTCCAATCGACTAGGTTTAGAACTGTAGTTAATATAGCAGTTCCGTAGCCAATTCTGCTCTAATTTTGTTCTAGTTGTGTTCTAGTTCTGTTCTAGTTCTGTTCTAGTTCTGTTCTATTTCTGTTCTATTTCTGTTCTAGTTCTGTTCTAGTTCTGTTCTAGTTCTGTTCTAGTTCTGTTCTAGTTCTGTTCTAGTTCTGTTCTAGTTCTGTTCTGTTCTGTTCTAGTCCTGTTCTAGTTCTGTTCTAGTTCTGTTCTAGTTCTGTTCTAGTTCTGTTCTAGTTCTGTTCTAGTTCTGTTCTAGTTCTGTTCTAGTTCTATTCTAGTTCTGTTCTAGTTCTGTTCTAGTTCTGTTCTAGTTCTGTTCTAGTTCTGTTCTAGTTCTATTCTAGTTCTGTTCTAGTTCTATTCTAGTTCTGTTCTAGTTCTGTTCTAGTTCTGTTCTAGTTCTGTTCTAGTTCTGTTCTAGTTCTGTTCTAGTTCTGTTCTAGTTCTGTTCTAGTTCTGTTCTAGTTCTGTTCTAGTTCTAGTTCTGTTCTAGTTCTGTTCTAGTTCTAGTTCTGTTCTAGTTCTGTTCTAGTTCTGTTCTAGTTCTAGTTCTGTTCTAGTTCTGTTCTAGTTCTGTTCTAGTTCTGTTCTAGTTCTGTTCTAGTTCTGTTCTAGTTCTGTTCTAGTTCTGTTCTAGTTCTGTTCTAGTTCTGTTCTAGTTCTGTTCTAGTTCTGTTCTAGTTCTGTTCTAGTTCTGTTCTAGTTCTGTTCTAGTTCTGTTCTAGTTCTGTTCTAGTTCTGTTCTAGTTCAGTTCTAATTCTGTTCTAGTTCTGTTCTAGTTCTGTTCTAGTTCTGTTCTAGTTCTGTTCTAGTTCTGTTCTAGTTCTGTTCTAGTTCTGTTCTAGTTCTGTTCTAGTTCTGTTCTAGTTCTGTTCTAGTTCTGTTCTAGTTCTGTTCTAGTTCTGTTCTAGTTCTGTTCTAGTTCTGTTCTGTTCTAGTTCTGTTCTAGTTATGTTCTAGTTATGTTCTAGTTATGTTCTAGTTCTGTTCTAGTTCTGTTCTAGTTCTGTTCTAGTTCTGTTCTAGTTCTGTTCTAGTTCTGTTCTAGTTCTGTTCTGTTCTAGTTCTAGTTCTGTTCTAGTTCTGTTCTAGTTCTGTTCTAGTTCTGTTCTAGTTCTGTTCTAGTTCTGTTCTAGTTCTGTTCTAGTTCTGTTCCAGGTCTTTTCCAGTTCTGTTCCAGTTCTGTTTTAGTTCTTTTTTAGTTCTGTTCTAGTTCTGTTCTAGTTCTGTTATAGTTCTGTTCTAGTTCTGTTCTAGTTCTGTTTAGTTCTGTTCTAGTTCTGTTCTAGTTCTGTTCTAGTTCTGTTCTAGTTCTGTTCTAGTTCTGTTCTAGTTCTGTTCTAGTTCTGTTCCAGTCTTTCCAGTTCTGTTTTAGTTCTGTTCTAGTTCTGCTCTAGTTCTGTTCTAGCTTAGTTCCATTTTTATATTTCCTGTTCTTCATTAAATTTCTGACTTTTCCTCTTAAACGTTTAAGCTTTCAGCAAAACTATGTTAATTGCTTTAATACTGTGCATTTAAAGCTCATCAATCATTCTAAAATCTCTAGAATATTTGTCACATTAAATACTGCTTCCCAGCAGTGAGTGCTTTTTATTAAAATTCAACTACAAAATTAATATCATTTCCACTGCAATAACTGCAGTTTATGTGTGTCAGTCATACAATAATAAAAATGTACAATTATCCCTGGAGCATGAAAACGGAATAAACACTGTCAGTATTTCCTATTTTTTGTGCAATTGTGCAGCTGCTATTTACGCACTTTAGACGACTCGATGGATAGATGGATGTTGTTTGTTGGCAACGTCCATGATAATGCTGTTGATGATGATGACGATATTGGAATTCAATACAAAAATTAGTGCGATTTCGAACATCTATAGTAGACATTATAAAGCTTCCTACAATTTCTTGTATTTTTCGTTTTATGTTTTCGAATAGTATTTTGCAATTTTTTGTTTGTACCAAATGCCAATCAGTAAATAACATTCAATTGATCTGTATACTAGATGTATATATATCTGAGTGAGAGTGTGTATTTGTGTTTTAAATCCTTGTGTATTTGTCTGTATAATTTTAGGTTGATGGTGAAGAGACAATTTCACTGCAATTGAACTTTCTACGTCTACCCTGTGCTACGCAATACATAAAAATACGTGATGGACCATCGTTATCCTCTACTTTGCTCATTGAAATGCAGGGTGGCACCACTGGTGCCGGTGGGGCAGGAGGAGGTAATGCGTATAGTGGGAATTTACCTGTTTCACTAGAATCCAGTGGAGCACAATTATTATTAGAATTCTATGCTGGTGAGGAGACGAGTATCACCAACAATACTGATATTCATACCGGCTTAATATGTACGGGTGGATTTTTGGCCAATGTTGAACAGATTGGTAAGTTGTCTTTACTTTGGGGAATTTGTTGATGCAGCTATTTAATTTCAATAACTTAAAACTATTTTGTACTTTTGTTTCGTTTAACAGTTAGAAACTCTTCCGAAACAACTTTAATGGCTGCCACACGTTTATCGGTGAAGGGGAGATCCTTTCTACAGAAACCTAAAATGAAATCGAAATTTACTTTAGTACATTTAAGTGCAGTAATATTTGCCAGTATTATAATTTTAATTAGTGCTTTATTAGGTAAGTCTATAACATACTAAATTCTTCATTAGGTGTAATAAAATTTTAACCTGTTTAAGGCGCCCAATATGTGATACGCTATCGTAAGTACCATTTAGCTGTCGCCCGTCGTCGTGATGAGGGTTCCCGTCTGCATACTCCTCATGCCAGTATGAGTTCTTTACAGAGTCCTCCTTCTAGGGCAGTAAGCACTACTACTCTTATATCGGAAGTTATTTATATGGTTAAAATGCGTCCCAAGCATCAACTCAGACATTCGATTTTAAGAGAAAGTATTGATGCTGAGAATTTGGCGCGAGAGACGGAAATGAATGAAACCAATGTTAAGGAGCCAATGGTCAAGTGGTGAGTCGGTATAGTTTTAGACAATAAATTTAATATACAACTATAACAGAACTAGAATAGAACTAGAACAGAACCAGAACCAGAAGAGAACTAGAACAGAACTAGTACAGAACTAGAAAAGAACTAGAACAGAACTAGTACAGAACTAGAAACTAGAACAGAACTAGAACAGAACTAGAACAGAACTAGAACAGAACTAGAACAGAACTAGAACAGAACTAGAACAGAACTAGAACAGAACTAGAACAGAACTAGAACAGAACTAGAACAGAACTAGAACAGAACTAGAACAGAACTAGAACAGAACTAGAACAGAACTAGAACAGAACTAGAACAGAACTAGAACAGAACTAGAACAAAACTAGAACAAACTAGAACAGAACTAGAACAGAACTAGAACAGAACTAGAACAGAACTAGAACAGAACTAGAACAGAACAGAACTAGAACAGAACTAGAACAGAACTAGAACAGAACTAGAACAGAACTAGAACAGAACTAGAACAGAACTAGAACAGAACTAGAACAGAACTAGAACAGAACTAGAACAGAACTAGAACAGAACTAGAACAGAACTAGAACAGAACTAGAACAGAACTAGAACAGAACTAGAACAGAACTAGAACAGAACTAGAACAGAACTAGAACAGTACTAGAACAGAACTAGAACAGAACTAGAACACAACTAGAACATAAATAGAACACAACTACAACAAAACTAAAACACAACTAGAACATAACTAGAACACAACTAGAACAGAAGTAGATCTCAACTAGAACACAACTAGAATACATCTAGAACAGAACTATAGAATTGACTATAGACTTGACTTGACTTGACTAGAATTGACTATAGACTTGACTATAGACTACACTATAGACTAGACTATAAATTGATTTTATGTTGATTTATTAGTGAAAACATAAAAGTATATTTTCTGGCTAAACTAAAAACCCTAGGGCAAAACCAACTAAAATCTGTGAAAACTTTCATTTCCCAACAAAAATCGATTTTTTAGTGGAAATATAAAAGTCCATTTTCTGGCTAAACTAGAGGCCCTAGGACAAAAACAATTAAAATCTGTGATCACTTTTATTTTCCAACAAAAATTGATTTTTTAGTGATTTTTGAGTGAAAACATAAAAGTCCATTTTCTGGCTAAACTAGAGGCCCTAGGACAAAACCAATTAAAATCTGTGATCACTTTTATTTCCTAACAAAAATCGATTTTTAGTGAATTTTGAGTGAAAACATAAAAATCCATTTTCTGGCTAAACTAGAGGTCCTAGGACAAAAACAATTAAAATCTGTGATCACTTTTATTTTCCAACAAAAATCGATTTTTTAGTGATTTTTGAGTGAAAACATAAAAGTCCATTTTCTGGCTAAACTAGAGGCCCTAGGACAAAAACAATTAAAATCTGTGATCACTTTTATTTTCCAACAAAAATCGATTTTTTAGTGATTTTTGAGTGAAAACATAAAAGTCAATTTTCTGGCTAAACTAGAGGCCCTAGGGCTAAAACAATTAAAATCTGTGATCACTTTCATTTCCCAACAAAAATCTATATTTTTAGTGATTTTTGAGTGAAAACATAAAAGTCCATTTTCTGGCTTAACTAGAAGCCCTAGGGCAAAAACAATTAAAATCTGTGATCACTTTAATTTTCCAACAAAAACTGATTTTTTAGTGATTTTTGAGTGAAAACATAAAGTCCATTTTCTGGCTAAACTAGAAGCCCTAGGGCAAAAACAATTAAAATCTGTGATCACTTTAATTTCCCAACAAAAAACGATTTTTTAGTGAATTTTGAGTGAAAACATAAAAGTCCATTTTCTGGCTAAACTAGAAGCCCTAGGGCAAAAACAATTAAAATCTGTGATCACTTTAATTTCCCAACAAAAAACGATTTTTTAGTGAATTTTGAGTGAAAACATAAAAGTCCATTTTCTGGCTAAACTAGAGGCCTAGGACAAAAACAATTAAAATCTGTGATCACTTTTATTTCCTAACAAAAATCGATTTTTTAATGAATTTTGAGTGAAAACATAAAAGTCCATTTTCTGGCTAAACTAGAGGCCTAGGACAAAAACAATTAAAATCTGTGATCACTTTAATTTTCCAACAAAAATTGATTTTTTAGTGATTTTTGAGTGAAAACATAAAAGTCCATTTTCTGGCTAAACTAGAAGCCCTAGGGCAAAAACAATTAAAATCTGTGATCACTTAAATTTTCCAACAAAAATTGATTTTTTAGTGATTTTTGAGTGAAAACATAAAAGTCCATTTTCTGGCTTAACTAGAAGCCCTAGGACAAAAACAAAATCTGTGATCACTTTTATTTTCCAACAAAAATCGATTTTTTAGTGATTTTTGAGTGAAAACATAAAAGTCCATTTCTGGCTAAACTAAAGGCCCTAGGACAAAAACAAAATCTGTGATCACTTTTATTTTCCAACAAAAATTGATTTTTTAGTGATTTTTGAGTGAAAACATAAAAGTCCATTTTCTGGCTAAACTAGAGGCCCTAGGACAAAAACAATTAAAATCTGTGATCACTTTTATTTCCTAACAAAAATCGATTTTTTAATGAATTTTGAGTGAAAACATAAAAGTCCATTTTCTGGCTAAACTAGAGGCCTAGGACAAAAACAATTAAAATCTGATTTCTCAACAAAAATCGATTTTTTTTAGTGATTTTTGAGTGAAAACTTAAAAGTCCATTTTCTGGCTAAACTAGAGACCCTGGGACAAAAACAATTAAAATCTGAGATCACTTTAATTTCCCAACAAAAAACGATTTTTTAGTGAATTTTGAGTGAAAACATAAAAGTCCATTTTCTGGCTAAACTAGAAGCCCTAAGGCAAAAACAATTGAAATCTGTGATCACTTTTATTTTCCAACAAAAATCGATTTTTTAGTGAATTTTGAGTGAAAACATAAAAGTCCATTTTTTGGCTAAACTAGAGGCCCTAGGACAAAAACAATTGAAATCTGTGATCACTTTTATTTCCTAACAAAAATCGATTTTTTAGTGAATTTTGAGTGAAAACATAAAAGTCCATTTTTTGGCTAAACTAGAAGCCCTAGGGCAAAAACAATTAAAATCTGTGATCACTTTTATTTTCCAACAAAAATTGATTTTTTAGTGATTTTTGAGTGAAAACATAAAAGTCCATTTTCTGGCTAAACTAGAGGCCCTAGGACAAAAACAATTAAAATCTGTGATCACTTTTATTTCCTAACAAAAATCGATTTTTTAGTGAATTTTGAGTGAAAACAAAACAATTAAATCTGTGATCACTTTTATTTCCTAACAAAAATCGATGTTTTAGTGAATTTTGAGTGAAAACATAAAAGTCCATTTTCTGGCTAAACTAGAAGCCCTGGGGAAAAAACAATTAAAATCTGTGATCACTTTTATTTCCCAACAAAAATCGATTTTTTAGTGATTTTTGAGTGAAAACATAAAAGTACATTTTCTGGCTAAACTAGAGGCCCTAGGGCAAAAACAATTAAAATGTGTGATCTGGCCTCTGTGATCACTATTATATTCCAACAAAAATCGATTTTTTAGTGATTTTTGAGTGAAAACATAAAAGTCCATTTTCTGGCTAAACTAGAGGCCCTAGGACAAAACCAGTTAAAATCTGTGATCACTAGTATTTCCCAACAAAAATCGATTTTTTAGTGATTTTTGAGTGAAAACATAAAAGTCCATTTTCTGGCTAAACTAGAAGCCCTAGGACAAAAACAATTAAAATCTGTGATCACTTTTATTTCCCAACAAAAATCAATTTTTTAGTGATTTTTGAGTGAAAACATAAAAGTCCATTTTCTGGCTAAACTAGAAGCCCTGGGGAAAAAACAATTAAAATCTGTGATCACTTTTATTTCCTAACAAAAATCGATTTTTTAGTGAATTTTGAGTGAAAACATAAAAATCCATTTTCTGGCTAAACTAGAAGCCCTAGGGCAAAAACAATTAAAATCTGTGATCACTTTCATTTCCCAACAAAAATCGATTTTTTAGTGAATTTTGAGTGAAAGCATAAAAGTCCAATTTCTGGCTAAACTAGAAGCCCTGGGGCAAAAACATTTAAAATCTGTGGTCACTATTATTTCCTAACAAAAATCGATTTTTTAGTGAATTTTGAGTGAAAACATAAAAGTCCATTTTCTGGCTAAACTAGAGGCCCTAGGACAAAACAAATTAAAATCTGTGATCACTTTCATTTCCCAACAAAAATCGATTTTTTAGTATTTTTTCAGTGAAAACATAAAAGTCCATTTTCTGGCTAAACCAGAGGCCGTAGGACAAAAACTATTAAAATCTGTGATCACTTTTATTTCCTAACAAAAATCGATTTTTTAGTGAATTTTGAGTGAAAACATAAAAGTCCATTTTCTGGCTAAACTAGAAGCCCTAGGGCAAAAACAATTAAAATCTGTGATCACTATTATTTCCCAACAAAAATCGATTTTTGAGTGAAAACATAAAAGTCCATTTTCTGCCTGGAGGACCTAGGGCAAAAACAATTAAAATCTGTGATCACTTTTATTTCCTAACAAAAATCGATTTTTTAGTGATTTTTGAGTGAAAACATAAAAGTCCATTTTCTGGCTAAACTAGAGGTCTTAGGACAAAAATAATTAAAATCTGTGATCACTTTCATTTCCCAACAAAAATCGATTTTTTAGTGATTTTTGAGTGAAAACATAAAAGTTTATTTTCTGGCTAAACTATAGGCCCTAGGACAAAAACAATTAAAATCTGTGATCACTTTCATTTCCCAACAAAAATCTATTTTTTAGTGATTTTTGAGTGAAAACATAAAAGTCCATTTTCTGGCTAAACCAGAGGCCCTAGGACAAAAACAATTAAAATCTGTGATCACTTTTATTTCCCAACAAAAATCAATTTTTTAGTGATTTTTGAGTGAAAACATAAAAGTCCATTTTCTGGCTAAACTAGAAGCCCTAGGGCAAAAACAATTAAAATCTGTGATCACTTTCATTTCCCAACAAAAATCGATTTTTTAGTGAATTTTGAGTGAAAGCATAAAAGTCCAATTTCTGGCTAAACTAGAAGCCCTGGGGCAAAAACATTTAAAATCTGTGGTCACTATTATTTCCTAACAAAAATCGATTTTTTAGTGAATTTTGAGTGAAAACATAAAAGTCCATTTTCTGGCTAAACTAGAGGCCCTAGGACAAAACAAATTAAAATCTGTGATCACTTTCATTTCCCAACAAAAATCGATTTTTTAGTATTTTTTCAGTGAAAACATAAAAGTCCATTTTCTGGCTAAACTAGAGGTCCTAGGGCAAAAACAATTAAAATCTGTGATCACTTTCATTTCCCAACAAAAATTGATTTTTTAGTGATTTTTTTATTGAAAACATAAAAGTCCATTTTCTGGCTAAACTAGAAGCCCTAGTGCAAAAACAATTAAAATCTGTGATCACTTTTATTTCCTAACAAAAATCGATTTTTTAGTGAATTTTGAGTGAAAACATAAAAGTCCATTTTCTGGCTAAACTGAAGGACCTAGGGCAAATATAATTAAAATCTGTGATCACTTTAATTTCCCAACAAAAATCGATTTTTTGTGATTTTTGAGTGAAAACATAAAAGTCCATTTTCTGGCTAAACTAGAGGTCCTAGGGCAAAAACGATTGAAACCTGTGATCACTTTTATTTCCCAACAAAAATCGATATTCTAGTGATTTTTGAGTGAAAACATAAAAGTCCATTTTCTGGCTAAACTAGAGGCCCTAGGGCAAAAACGATTAAAATCTGTGATCACATTTACTTCTGTGATCACTATTATATTCCCACAAAAATTGAATTTTTAGTGATTTTTGAGTGAAAACATAAAGGTCCATTTTCTGGCTAAACTAGAGGTCCTAGGGCAAAAACAATTAAAATCTGTGATCACTTTCATTTCCCAACAAAAATTGATTTTTTATTGAAAACATAAAAGTCCATTTTCTGGCTAAACTAGAGGCCCTAGTGCAAAAACAATTAAAATCTGTGATCACTTTTATTTCCTAACAAAAATCGATTTTTTAGTGAATTTTGAGTGAAAACATAAAAGTCCATTTTCTGGCTAAACTAGAGGCTCTAGGGCAAAACCTATTAAAATCTGTGATCACTTTCATTTCCCAACAAAAATCGATTTTTTAGTGATTTTTGAGTGAAAACATAAAAGTCCATTTTCTGGCTAAACTAGAGGTCCTAGGGCAAAAACAATTAAAATCTGTGATCACTTTCATTTCCCAACAAAAACTGATTTTTTAGTGATTTTTTATTGAAAACATAAAAGTCCATTTTCTGGCTAAACTAGAGGCCCTAGTGCAAAAACAATTAAAATCTGTGATCACTTTAATTTCCCAACAAAAAACGATTTTTTAGTGATTTTTGAGTGAAAACATAAAAGTCCATTTTCTGGCTAAACTGAAGGACCTAGGGCAAATATAATTAAAATCTGTGATCACTTTAATTTCCCAACAAAAATCGATTTTTTGTGATTTTTGAGTGAAAACATAAAAGTCCATTTTCTGGCTAAACTAGAGGTCCTAGGGCAAAAACGATTGAAACCTGTGATCACTTTTATTTCCCAACAAAAATCGATATTCTAGTGATTTTTGAGTGAAAACATAAAAGTCCATTTTCTGGCTAAACTAGAGACCCTAGGACAAAAACAATTAAAATCTGTGATCACTTTTACTCCCCAAAAAAATCGATTTTTTAGTGATTTTTGAGTGAAAACATAAAAGTCCATTTTCTGGCTAAACTAGAGGCCCTAGGGCAAAAACGATTAAAATCTGTGATCACATTTACTTCTGTGATCACTATTATATTCCCACAAAAATTGAATTTTTAGTGATTTTTGAGTGAAAACATAAAGGTCCATTTTCTGGCTAAACTAGAGGTCCTAGGGCAAAAACAATTAAAATCTGTGATCACTTTCATTTCCCAACAAAAATTGATTTTTTATTGAAAACATAAAAGTCCATTTTCTGGCTAAACTAGAGGCCCTAGTGCAAAAACAATTAAAATCTGTGATCACCTTTAATTCCTAACAAAAATCGATTTTTTAGTGAATTTTGAGTGAAAACATAAAAGTCCATTTTCTGGCTAAACTGAAGGACCTAGGGCAAATATAATTAAAATCTGTGATCACTTTAATTTCCCAACAAAAATCGATTTTTTGTGATTTTTGAGTGAAAACATAAAAGTCCATTTTCTGGCTAAACTAGAGGTCCTAGGGCAAAAACGATTATTTCCCAACAAAAATCGATATTCTAGTGATTTTTGAGTGAAAACATAAAAGTCCATTTTCTGGCTAAACTAGAGACCCTAGGACAAAAACAATTAAAATCTGTGATCACTTTTGCTTCCCAAAAAAATCGATTTTTTAGTGATTTTTGAGTGAAAACATAAAAGTCCATTTTCTGGCTAAACTAGAGGCCCTAGTGCAAAAACAATTAAAATCTGTGATCACTTTTATTTCCTAACAAAAATCGATTTTTTAGTGAATTTTGAGTGAAAACATAAAAGTCCATTTTCTGGCTAAACTGAAGGACCTAGGGCAAATATAATTAAAATCTGTGATCACTTTAATTTCCCAACAAAAATCGATTTTTTGTAATTTTTGAGTGAAAACATAAAAGTCCATTTTCTGGCTAAACTAGAGGTCCTAGGGCAAAAACGATTGAAACCTGTGATCACTTTTATTTCCCAACAAAAATCGATATTCTAGTGATTTTTGAGTGAAAACATAAAAGTCCATTTTCTGGCTAAACTAGAGACCCTAGGACAAAAACAATTAAAATCTGTGATCACTTTTACTTCCCAAAAAAATCGATTTTTTAGTGATTTTTGAGTGAAAAGATAAAAGTCCATTTTCTGGCTAAACTAGAAGACCTAGGATAAAAACAATTAAAATCTGTGATCACTTTTATTTTCCAACAAAAATTGACTTTTTAGTGAATTTTGAGTGAAAACATAAAAGTCCATTTTCTGGCTAAACTAGAGGCCCTAGGGCAAAAACAATTAAAATCTGTGATCACTATTATTTCCCAACAAAAATTGATTTTTTAGTGATTTTTGAGTGAAAACATAAAAGTCCATTTTCTGGCTAAACTAGAGGCCCTAGGACAAAAACAATTAAAATCTGTGATCACTTTAATTTCCCAACAAAAAACGATTTTTTAGTGAATTTTGAGTGAAAACATAAAAGTCCATTTTCTGGCTAAACTAGAGGCCCTAGGACAAAAACAATTAAAATCTGTGATCACTTTAATTTCCCAACAAAAATTGATTTTTTAGTGATTTTTGAGTGAAAACATAAAAGTCCATTTTCTGGCTAAACTAGAGGCCCTAGGACAAAAACAATTAAAATCTGTGATCACTTTAATTTCCCAACAAAAATCGATTTTTTAGTGAATTTTGAGTGAAAACATAAAAGTCCATTTTCTGGCTAAACTAGAGGCCCTAGGACAAAAACAATTAAAATCTGTGATCACTTTAATTTCCCAACAAAAAACGATTTTTTAGTGAATTTTGAGTGAAAACATAAAAGTCCATTTTCTGGCTAAACTAGAAGCCCTGGGGCGAAAACAATTGAAATCTGTGATCACTTTTATTTCCTAACAAAAATCGATTTTTTAGTGAATTTTGAGTGAAAACATAAAAGTCCATTTTCTGGCTAAACTAGGCCCTAGGGCAAAAACAATTAAAATCTGTGATCACTTTTATTTTCCAACAAAAATTGATTTTTTAGTGATTTTTGAGTGAAAACATAAAAGTCCATTTTCTGGCTAAACTAGAGGCCCTAGGACACAAACAATTAAAATCTGTGATCACTTTTATTTTCCAACAAAAATCGATTTTTTTTAGTGATTTTTGAGTGAAAACATAAAAGTCCATTTTCTGGCTAATCTAGAAGCCCTGGGGCAAAAACAATTAAAATCTGTGATCACTTTAATTTCCCAACAAAAATCGATTTTTTAGTGAATTTTGAGTGAAAACATAAAAGTACATTTTCTGGCTAAACTGGAGGCTCTAGGACAAAAACAATTAAAATCTGTGATCACTATTATTTCTCAACAAAAATCGATTTTGTAATGAATTTCGAGTGAAAACATAAAAGTCCATTTTCTGGCTAAACTAGAAGCCCTAGGACAAAAACAATTAAAATCTGTGATCACTTTAATTTCCCAACAAAAATCGATTTTTTAGTGATTTTTGAGTGAAAACATAAAAGTCCATTTTCTGTCTAAACTAGAGGCCCTAGGACTAAAACAATTAAAATCTGTGATCACTATTATATTCCAACAAAAATCGAATTTTTAGTGATTTTTGAGTGAAAACATAAAAGTCCATTTTCTGGCTAAACTAGAGGCCCTAAGGTAAAAACGATTGAAATCTGTGATCACTTTCATTTCTAGAACAGAACTAGAACACAACTAAAACACAACTAGAACACAACTAGAACACAACTAGAACACAACTAGAATACAACTAGAACACAACTAGAACAGAAATAGTACACAAGTAGAACTGATCTAGAACTGAAATAGAACACAACTAAAACAGAACAGGGCAGGAGCTGTAGCGTTTTCTCTTAATCCGAGACTTTTGAAACTTTTCAAATTAATATCATTCTTCCTTTAAAGCGTTGAAGAATTCGGCAGTAATGGTTCCATAGTCACGCTACGCAATGAAATTATATCACCCACCACCGAATCCCTCAGCCGCTCACCGTCCACCGAAGACGTTATGTCCGGCACTGCCAATGAATCGAATATCGATGATCTAAATCCCCGTAGTTGCGGCACTTTAACACGTAAAGATAGCGGTAAAGATACCGAAAGCATTATATCATCCGGCATGTCGTCTATCTGCAACAGTCCACCAATGAATACAAAACGTTCTAGTCGTTATTCCGAACGTTATGATGCCTCAACACTCAAAATGACAAATTCGTATGTGGAAGAGAAAACAGACTGTGAATCGATAAGGTCGATAGCACCGAGAAGAAAATCAAGATGTGCTAGTGTTAATTTAACAAATGTAAGTAGATATGTTTGGGATATTGAGAAGAGATATTATTAATTATATATTTTGGGGGGGACTTTTAGGGTTGCTATTCACCGGCTGCTAGTATTATAAGTTCGGCTACCATACGCAGCACTAACCCTAAGGAAAGCAAAGAAAAGCAGAACCGTAAAAAGTTATTGGCACGTCCAGGATCAGAGTTTTCTTTGGGCAATCAGGAGGATTTTGAATTGGATTATTATGATTATAATGTAACAAATGCGGGCTCTGTGCCGGGCTCTTATCTGGGCATGGATCCCGCCTATTTGGTGTGGATACCACCCTTTGATGATATACCAGATTCACCCGAAAGAGATGAGGATAAAACCCCTGAACCTTTACAAGAACCAGATGAGACACAACCTTTGTATCAGGAAATAAAAATGCCCAAATATGGACATTATTTATCGCCACATAGTAATACGAATTCGAGTAATAATACCACCAATACCAGTCCCACTTCGGAGGAATTATCACCATTAAGCAGTAATCTACAGTCAAAGGCTACAACACCCAGTGAAACAGATTTAAAGAATTGTCTGATAAGAAAAGCCATATCATCCAATTCCAATCAATCGATTGGTGGTTCCAAACAATCAACACCATATCTAACGCGTAAGCAGCGCAAACAGCAAAAGCAACAGTCCAAATCCACTTTATCCTTGGGTGGCCAAAAAGAATGTATACCACTAGATGAGCTTAATGTAACAAGATCGGTAAGGAATTTACAGCAAATGCAAGAACCTTTTAGGGAGCAGACAACTACTATTTTAGAAACTGACTCGATGAATGGTTCTTATATAGAAAAGGAAACCTCGGTGGTTAAGTCATCTAGTGATTTGCAAAATTATCTCTCTATAGATGATATACAATTTGCCGATGAGAGTGAAAGTGATCATGATGCCTCTTTGGCCGCCTTAAAGCCTCAGGAGCGTAGAATGTCAGAGAAAGAAGCTTTAACGGAGGAGTGCAAACTGCTGAGAGATATGAAGCGAGTTAGCACGGTGGTGGCACAAAATCGAGCACAAACTGTTAGAAGAACACAAGTGTAAAAGTAAGAAAGCTTTCTGAGAAAGCTTTTACAAGCATACAAAAAAAGAGGCGTGGCTATGAATATATTTAGTTTATAAGCGATATTATCGTAAAAAACGATTAGTAATAATTTCAAAGAGAAAAAAATATTTAAAAATTTAATTTGTATATAAAAGATATTTTTAAAATAAGTTTAGATTAGAAAAAAAGCTTTTTGTTTTTACTAACGAGTGGTAAACCGGTTTAGATTTTCTATAAGTAGAGTTTTTTTTTGTAATAATTAAAAACCTTTTCAAATATATCGTAAAAGAAAAACTCTGTACCTCCTTTAACTAAAACAAAAACTAAACTATAACTAACTTAAAACACTTTCATATATTGTTTGAAATTTAACAAAAACTATTAAATTTTTGATATTTTAACAAATTACAAGACTTTTTTTCAAATTATACATAATTACGCTTATTTCTTAACAAAACAAAACTTTTAAAACAACCCTCCAATTAACTGTATTTTTTGGTTTAATTTCTTTTAATTATTCAAAATTCAAAATTAGTTAAAATGTAATTTTAGCGGCCTTGTGATTTTTCTTTTAGTTTATTTTTTAATTTTATTTAAAATACAATTTCTAGTCAATTTTACTTTATATTTTTCTTAAAAATTTAAAGCAAAAATAAAATAAAAAGATAATTTTAAGTAATTTATTAAAAATTTTTATAAATAAGTTTATTTGTAAACAACTAAAGGCAATATTTATTTAATTTTAAGTAAAATTTTTAATAATTTAAACATTTACTTTCAAAATTTTTAAATTTTTCATTTAGATTTTCTTTGTTTCTACTTTATAAGCTAAATTTAAGAATGATAAGCTATTTAACAAAGAAATTTTTGATTAAAATCTCTAAAATGTAAATGTTTACATATTTATAAAACAATTAGTTGTATATACAAAAAAAAAAAAAAAAAACAGAGTTTAAAGAAAGAAAATTATACACAAAAAGAAAAATCTTAGAGAAAAAACCAAAAAGAAATTTAATAAAAACAATATTAAGGAATTAGTATTAAAAACAAAAAGTAAAAAATATATAAATGTTTTATTTCCGAAAGCAGCAAACGTTTTAATTCACATGAGACTCAAACTAGAATTTAAGAGCTTTCCAACGACACCCATTTCATTCAAATCTGTTTAGTACTTAATGAGAAACTCAATGTTTAAGCAACGACTCTTTACTATCACCACCACCAATCAAACTTTTGCTAAACACTTTTCTTTAAATGTTTATAACTCGAAAACTACTACACGTATTGTAAAGGTGTCATATGAAAGATATCAAATTGCTTTAAACAATGAATGCCAAATTTACCGAGACCATGCCACGCCTACTTAGTGAAAACTTATGAACAAAGTTTAAGCTGGTAATGTTAATGATTAATATTGATGAAATTTAGTTTTAGTGAATGGAATACAAACTAGCATTCAAGGGCTTTCCAATAACATCAAATTTATGAAAATCTTTTCAATATTAAGGGAGATATTCAAAGTGTTATGAACCCTCGATTAGACTCTATTCGGTAGTAAATTGTATAAAAGTAATTATTTTAAATGGCTGTAAATTTGAAATTATAGCTCTGATTGTAATGGAACTTTTTGCAGCTGATAGAGTATAACTTAAGCTATACAAAGCGGTTTAAATTTTATGAAATTGCCACGCCCACTTTCTTGTATATAAAGTGAATGATGTTCTCCTTTAATTCTAGTGCTGTATATTGACAACATTGTCTTATGCACAAGTTTTAAGCTCAACGGAAACTAGAATTCAACAGCTTTCCTATGATACCAATTTTATCCCAATCGGTTTAAAATTCATGAAGATTTTACCAATATCAATAACAGTTTGTGATCAACTTTACACTAAGTAAGTGTGACAATCTATAACTGTTAAAATTTTGAATTACTCTTATATTTATAAACCGATTTAAACAAAATTGACACCATTGTAAAGCCAATAAATTTTACTTTTTGATACATTCACATTTTCTTGCAATAATTAACAATTTCCACACAAAAATACTATGTTAAACATTGTTTACAGAATTTCATAAAGTAGGCGTGGCAAAGGGGGTTGTTAAAGACATTCATTATAAAGTACAATTCAAGAGCTTTCATATGACATCAATATCATTGCAATACGTTAAGTAGTTTGCTAGTTATAAGCATTTAAAGAAAAGTGTTTAGCAAAAAATTGCTTGCTAGATGATTCTGTTTACCTAATACCAGACTTTTTGGGCAAAATTGGTTTACAACTTTTTTTTCAAAGTTGGTGGTGGTGGTACTGCAGACTCGCTGCTTAAACTTGGAATTTCTCATTAAGTACTTAATCGATTTAGATGATATGGGTGTCGTTGGAAAGCTCTTGAATTCTAGTTTCCGATGACGTTATTTAAAATAACTTATTTCAATATTTCTATTAGGAATTGACAAAGTAAACGAATATTTTGAATTTCTAACCAATTTCCTGAATGTAACTAGAATATTGATATAAAGTATAAAAAGTTGTTGCCGGGAATTTACTTTATCATGTCCTAAAGTTTCATACAAATAGGTGTTGTAGTTTTCGAGATTTAAGCTTTAAAATTTATGAGTAAGTTATCCGACAATGTTTTAGATTGTTCAATTCCAGTTCATGTTGAATAACTTCAAGAGGTTAAAACTGAAAACCTACTCAACAGATTTGAATGAAACTAGCGGTAATGATAAAGTGATTTCTTAGCTACAACATTTTATTACTTATTTTAACATACTAATCATAGTCAAGGTGAGGATCGAAATCTTAAAAATATTGTTTACATTGTTAATTTCTAAAAGCTATATCAAAATAAGTTACTTTTATTCAACTCATCAGAAACTAGAATTCAAGAGCTTTCCAACGACACCCATATCATCCAAATCGGTTAAGTACTTAATAAGAAATACCAAGTTTAAGTAGCGACTCTGTAATACCACCACCACCAACTTCGAAAAAAAGTTGAAAACCAATTTTGCCCAAAAAGTCTGGTATTAGGTAAACAGAATCGTCTAGCAAGCAAATTTTCGCTCAACACTTTTCTTTAAATGCTCATAACTCGGTAACTACTGCACGTATTGTTAAGAAATTAGTGTCATATGAAAGATATCAAATTGCGTTACACAATGAATGCTAAATTTACTGCCCCCTGCCACGCCTACTTAGCGAATTTCTACGAACAAAGTTGAAGATGGTAAGGTTTGTGAAGAATATTGAGGAAAGTTGGTTTTAGTGAATAGAATACAAATTAGAATTCAAGGGCTTTCCAATGATATACAATTTATGAAAATCGTTTCAATAGTAAGGGAGATATTTAAAGTTGTATTTGCTCTCGATTAGACTGTACTAAATTTTATAAAAGTGATTATTTTAAATGACTGTAAATTAGAAACTACAGCTCTGATTGTAATGGAACTTTTTGCAGCTGTTAGAGTATAGATTAGGCTATGCACAGCAGTTTTAATTTTATGAATTTGCCACGCCCACTTTTTTGTATATAAAGTGAATTATGTTCTCCTTTAATTTTAGTGCTGTATATTGACAACATTGATTTATGCAAAGGTTTTAAGCTCAATAGAAACTAGAATTCAACAGCTTTCCTACGATACCAATTTCATCCTAATCGGTTTAAAATTTATGAAGATTTTACCAATTTCAATAACAGTTTGTGATCAACTTTACACTAAGTAAGTGTGGCAATCTATAATTATTAAAATTTCGAATTTCTTTTTTATTTATGAACCGATTTTAACAAAATTGACACCATTGTAAAGCCAATAAATTTTACTTTTTGATACATTCACATTTTCTTCCAATAATTAACAATTTCCCCACAAATATACTATGTTAAACATTGTTTACAAAATTTCATAAAGTAGGCGTGGCAAGGTTCGTTATTAATGACATTCATTATAAAGTACAATTCAAGAGCTTTCATATGACATCAATATCATTGCAATACGTTAAGTAGTTTGCTTGTTATAAGCATTTAAAGAAAAGTGTTTAGCAAAAATTTGCTTGCTAGACGATTCTGTTTACCTAATACCAGACTTTTTGGGCAAAATTGGTTAACAACTTTTTTTTCGAAGTTGGTGGTGGTGGTACTGCAGACTCGCTGCTTAAACATGGAATTTTTCATTAAGTACTTAATCGATTTGAATGATATGGGTGTCGTTGGAAAGCTCTTGAATTCTAGTTTCCGATGACCTTATTAAAACTAACATATTTCAATATTTCTATTAGTAATTGACAAAGTAAACGAATATTTTGAATTTCTAACCAATTTCCTGAATCTAACTAAAATGTTGATATAAAGTATAAAAAATTGTTGCTTAGAATTCACTTTATCATGTCGTAAAGTTTCATTCAAATCGGAGTTGTAGTTTTTGAGATTAAAGCTTTCGAAGTTATGAGTAAGTTATCCCACAATGTTTTAGATTGTTCAATTCGAGTTCATGTTGAATAACTTCAAGAGGTTAAAACTGAAAACCTAATCAAGCGATTTGAATGAAACTTGCGGTAATGATAAAGTGATTTTTAAGCTACAACATTTTATAACTTATTTTAACATACTAACCATAATCAAGATGTGGGTTGACATATTAAAAATATTGTTTACAGTGTTAATTCCTAGAAGTAATATCAAAATAAATTACTTTTATTCAACTCATCAGAAACTAGAATTCAAGAGCTTTACAACGACGTCCATATCATCCAAATCGGTTAAGTACTTAATGAGAAATTTCAAGTTTAAGCAGCGATTCTGTAATACCACCACCACCAACTTCGAAAAAAAAGTTGAAAACCAATTTTGCCCAAAAAGTCTGGTATTAGGTAAACAGAATCGTCTAGCAAGCAAATTTTTGCTAAACACTTTTCTTTAAATGCTTATAACTCGAAATCTACTGCACGTATTGTTAAGAAATTAGTGTCATATGAAAGATATCAAATTGCGCTACACAATGAATGCCGAATTTACCGCCCACTGCCATGCCTACTTAGTGAATTTCTACGAACAAAGTTGACGATGGTAAGGTTTGTGAAGAATGTTGAGGAAAGTTGTTTTTAGTGAATATAATACAAATTAGAATTCAAGGGCTTTCCAATGATATCAAATTTATGAAAATCGTTTCAATAGTAAGGGAGATATTCAAAGTTGTATTTGCTCTCGATTAGACTGTATTCGGTACTAAATTTTATAAAAGTGATTATTTTAAATGACTGTAAATTAGAAACTACAGCTCTGATTGTAATGGAACTTTTTGCAGCTGTTTGAGTATAAATTAGGCTATGCACAGCAGTTTTAATTTTATGAAATTGCCACGCCCACTTTTTTGTATATAAAGTGAATTGTGTACTT